CAACATCAGCAATCGCAACTGCACCAGAGGCAACGGCGATCGCCCGAGCCCCGGTCGAACTAGCAACTGCTCGTGGGGTAGTCACTGGTCAGGCAGTTTTTATGGGGCGCTCAGCTACCGCTCTACCGTAGCTCCCGGTAGCGACTTGTACCGTGATTTTGAGGACGGCGCTACAGCAGTAGCCAGAGGAGCAAAACAAAACCAGAAACAGACTGCTAGAGCACGAGTAGCAGGACTTGCGCTCTTGGGAGGACAACAGGAGCAAGATGGATCTGGCTGTAGTCTTCAGCCTCGTCCTACTGACTGCGCTTCTCATTGCCGGGTGGTTTGTTCGGCGTGAGTACATATTTTCATCATCGTCTGAACTTGAGTGTCTTCATATGGAGATTATCAACCAATCGTAGCAGTGAGGTCAGCTTTGTAGGGTACTCAGGATTGGATTCTTCTCAGAGGTGTGAAGTAAGACTTATGGTTAGAAGGCAGATCATGACGAAGCTTGCAATAATGAAGGGGTGCTTAGCCTTGCTGCCCTCGTAGGTGGTTATCTTAAAATGTTCTATATTCCTGTACAGCATGCTTCATCGTCACTAGGCACGAGCTCCTGCAGTCAATCCCACCTGTTTTTAGGACCCGCTCTGGGGATTCTGCCTCAAGCAAGTGCCCTGGACTGTAAGTAGCCTGATACTCTCAGCACAAGAGGGTGATGAGGCAGTCTGCTCCTCTGGCGCTAGTCCCTTCTGGTTCTCGCTTGCACACCTCAGGTGTATGGGCTGCTGTACAATAGACGTAAAGATCACTGGCTGTTTGACGCTGCCGGTAGGGCTGTTGATTTACGTACAAACTTGCTTGCAGGGAACCCAGTGCCATCAGGCAGTTCCCCCCCGAGAAGCACCCATGCAGACTAGCTCTGCAACACTGCAGAGCTCTGAGGAGGACCTGGCCAATCTTCCCACCACTGCCGGGGAGAGCGCGTGCTCCCGTCGGCAATGAGGAGGCCGCCAATGGCGAGGTTCACCGCACGGTTGTTGAAGCTGTCAATTGCGTAAGTTTCCTGTCTTCAGATGTAGGGGTCTTGCAGGATCCCAAAGCCTGTCGCTCTCAATTGTGACGGGCTGACCCTTATTGGATGCCTCTGAATGGATGCACAAAGCGATTCCTGGTCTGACACTTAGTATTTGACGTATTGTTCGGTTGAAGTGAGATTCAATGATCAACGAAGACAGATCCGCTGAGTATCTGGAGCCCAGCTCAGCACCAAATGATACTCTGATTGTTTCTTCAGATGCAAATTCCCAATGGGTTTGACATGCCACTCTAGTGTAGCAAGGACTAGGGGCTACACGATCAAGTGGCTACTTTTGATCTTGTTCATTGATCTCGCGTACGGGACTAGTGGCAGAAACAGTGGGAATTGCGGCCAGGAGGTGACAAAAAGCTTGTCGATGTTGCAGCTTCTCGAGCGCGATGACATCATGGAGTTGCGCGAGTACACAATCCAGGTCCTGCCCCTGGAGAACAAGCGCATGGGAGCATCAGCAGAAGGGTTGCCGGATTGGAGCTGTGAGACAGACTCGTCAAGGTAAGTCAAGCACATGACTCCAACTTATGGACCGATAGGCAAAGTATGCCAGATCGTCATGATATTATGGAGCAGCTTACTCCTTCAGGACTTTCTGCTCATGTTGTAGGTCATGCTGTTACAGGTTTTCAATAACGACAATTGAGGGCAAGCGGCCGGAGGTCGCGGCTGGGTACCAGTTTGGGGACCCGCTGCCAAACACCATGACCCTCTACTGGTCAGAGGCCGGCAAGTAAGTTGGCATGGTCTTAACTTGAGCGGCCCTCCGCATCGGCAGCGCCATTGAGGCAGCCTTCTTCATGTGATTGCTGAAACAGCCAAATTGTTTGCTGTTTTGCTCTGCATACATTCAGAACGTTGTTCCTTCAAGTTTCTTAAGAGTTTTGGAAATTGGCACTGAAAGACGCGGACGAAATAGCTGATGCAACGATAGACATGAGATTTTCCTCCTGCACTTGTAAATTTGGTAGCTTCAACATGAGTCCATACACCTCTCCCAAGGTTCCTTTTCCACCATCCCCACACAAGAAGCTGCCGCTTTGCGTGACCGTTGGTCTTCGCAAAGAGAATCAGCCTTTCTTTAAGAAGGCCGATAGGGTTTGCTGCCACGGCTTCTGAAGAGTCGTCTGAGTCAGTACTACATTGGTCACAACTGAATGGGAAAACGGGTGACACACAGGCCCGTACTTAGGTAGCTAAGGCAGACCAACTATGTTGGTGAGAGTTCCAGTGGCTAATTACAGATTAATCTAGCAGTAGGATTCAATAAGTGGTTTGCGTGTAACCAGCTCACATCAGAGATGTTGACCCGGTTCTATCCCCCTCTCCACAGTTCGTTGCAGTGATGAGGTTCTGGTTATAGCTTTCTTTCCCAATGTCCTTCAGCGGATTTGCCAACAGAAAACCTGGTCAGACATGATTCGTGCAAGGAGAACGTGGACCAAACGTTTGGAGCTCTGATCTCTAGCACCTACCGCTTCACTGGCAGTTGATCTCTCTTTCCGAGCATCTGGTCCAATGTTGACGGCCGTTGGCACACTTTGTAGACAGCTGTCTGGTTCTAGAATATGATTTAGTTTTCCCGGTCGGTATTGAGCTGCTAGCCTCTTGGCAATTGGTGTTCCTCTGGGAGGGAAGTTGGTAGGAAGTTTGGAAAGTCCGGATCTGGTCCACGTTCTCCTTCTACGTATCCAGACATCTGGGTACGCAGATTCTTTGGAGCACAACACCACTTCTGATCGGTTCTTTCTCCTCCTTCGTGCTAAGCAGGGATTTTAAGAGGTCCGTCCATCAAGAAAACCGCTACATGGAGGGGCGCGAGCATCCGTGGGGGATGCTCACCTTCTTGGCTTTCTATGTGGTGCTGTACCGCGAGGGCGGCGTCCTCTACATGACCGAGGCCATCCCCTACGACCACAAGGAGCCCACAATAATCATGGTACGTTGAAAGACCTAGGTAATCATGTCCATCTGGTGTCGCTCAAAAGAGCGGATCTGGAAAGTTGTTTCCATCAGCATGGACAAGCTGCTCAGGATGCCCTTCGTTCCAGGAAGCATGCTGGGCAATCCCCAAGGCTTTTCGGATTCGATGGTGCGCCTCTCTCCTGTGCACCGCAGCCTTTTCATGTTCTTTCAACGTCCCTTGATTACTTTCTGTCCGAGCTATCTCCGTTTCACATGTGTGCAGCTCCTCCTCTTCATCGTCCACTCCAACTACATGCACCTGCTCAACAAGTATGGTCGCCTTCCCCCACCTCCCTCTCTCCCCCACCTCGAAGTAGCCCCTCTAATCCGCGCTGTTGCATCTACACCGCCCAACCTTGCCCCGCCTCCACCGACCTCCACCCCCTCAACCTCGTACCCCTCCACCCGCCTGCGGCGCTCGTTGGGCAACCAGCCTGTGAAGAAGAAGGCGGTCGGCATGGACTCTGCTGACCCGTCTACCCCTCGCCAGACATCGTCCCCGGAAAGCCCGCTCGATCTTCTGCGATGGGACATGCTTTGTGCATCTGACGTGGTGCTTGGCGTTGGCCGCACCGGAGCGGTCCGCCTGGGAAGGTATGCACGAGTCCTTCAAGCGCTTGAGATGTTCTGTCCTGCAACTTCGGACAGAATTCCGGAGGCAATCTTGCTATCAACTCAGGTGCCTGGATTGAAAAGTCAAGAGTCACAGGTGCTCCACGCAACCTGCCAATTTTAGAAAGGGCGTATAATTTCGACTGGAAGAGGCGAATTATCCATAATGTAGGAAATCAGACCCGAATTGACCAATCCATAGAGAATTCTTGTGGCACGGAGGCTATGGAAGATGGCTTAGCTATAAAGTCAACGAAGCTGTGAAAGTGTGGAAGCTCGGGGTTTTATTCATGCGGTACAGAGAGGGTTGCGGATCAGCCAAATAATCCAAAGCGAATGTACCTCACAGCAAAGTGTCTGAATAATGTACCGCCTGCAATTCTGAAAACCGACAATCAAAAGTCTTTGGGTGCCAGGAGACTTTCCATTCTTTCTGTGTTAACCCACTGCTCTTCCGCCCCCAGAGTTTCTGAAACAACTCTCAGAGCCACCCGGATCAATCACGTTTTTTTCAACGTTTTCTCCCGTCGGGCACCGGTGCACTATGTAGAGAAAGATTGTCACAGATCAGACCACTGAATCTCAATTGAAGCATTTTGAAGTACAATTCTCGTGACGTCAGCCACACGCGGTAATCTGCTTGCGCGGTTGAGGTGTTACGGAATACGTCAACCCCAAGCATTGGTGAGACCTTGCGCGAGAAGTTTGTGAGGCAGTGGGAAATCGCTTGGACGACCTTCCAAGCGCACTATGGGGTCGAGACCCTTGATCAGATTTTTGTCCGAGAGGGGCTGAATAACCCAATTTCTTTAGTTCAGACCAATCATCCTGGTCGCACTCAAACCCACCCTAACCTGGTTGTTGGAGCTTCCCCCTTTTTGTGACACAGATGCACTTTCTTAGTGCTAGTGATTAGGACTGGTCTTTCTGTAGTAATTCCATAAGCCGGTATGAGGACCTGCGCTTCATAAGGGATTTGAAGGATCGGCTTTGGCTTTGTTGAGTTGAAGGTTTTCGGATTTTATCTCATCAGGGTCTCCAAAGTGAAGTCTGTACCCAATGACGATGATTTATTAGGATGGCAGTGAGTGCCGAACTGGCATTGCTTTATGCTAGTACCTTTTTTGCAGCTATGTTAACAGACCTCATAAAGTGAGACATCCTGAAATACCGTTGGTCTGCAGTGCTCGTTAGCCCATAGTGTTTGCGGAATATTGAGTGCAGATCAGGGGCTTTTCCAGATCGAAGGCCTTTTGTTTTGTGGAAGAGAATCGGAGTGGGGTTGTCAAGTCCATCTTTGCATGCACATAACCTGTGTTCCGACTTCTCTCTATTTTCATGTCTCGCAGAATTGATGGGTTATCCGTGGCCCTCAAGATTGTCGACCAGGACGCCAAAAACTATGAGGAGCTGGCGATGGAGCTTCGGAACGAGTTTAAGGTTTACCAGCGATTGCGACCCCTCTGGGGGGATGTCGTGCCGCGCCTGGTTCGGTTTGGGGCATGTGATCAAACATGCCGCGAGATCCTGGCACTTGAGTACCTCCCTGCTTACCCTCTCAAGGCTGAGTCGGCTAGTGACGAGGTCAAGACGGCCGCGATTGCAGGATTGGGCCGGATCCATGCCCTTGGTGTCAAGCACGGGGATCTGCGGGAGTCAAACATTCTAGTCGTAGGGTCCAAGCCCTTCTTTGTTGATTTTGGGTTTTCGACTTTGGACGCGTCTGCAGTGGAGAGGGAGGAGGAAGCCGCCGAATTGCAAAAGCTTCTTGGGACTGAGTGATGCTGTCCGCCGATGACGATCGCAAGGCAGCCACCATCAACGGAGTCTCTACGAGTACGCTGTTGTAAAGGTGCGCAAGACAGGGCTGAGGGAATGCTTAAGCTGCAACAACTGACATTCAAGTCGTTACTGCGCTTTTATATGCCTTCCAAATCAAGAAAAGGCCTACATGTTTGGCATTGCACAGTGATTGTCTAAGATTGCGCAGGCTTGGTCAATGACCTTCATGGACGACATGCGACATTGAATGTTCATAGTGTCGGAATCCCATTGTGAAATTTGGGGGGTCGCCATTTTGCATACCGTTGAATCTCATATGCGAAAGACTCCATCAATGATAAATTGCGACATGTTCAGTGTTTGGAGTGTTGGCAAGGATGGTACAGCAAGTGCTTCCAATCAGTGAATTGCTCGCTCACGCCTAAAGACGAGGGTTTTTCGTGCTGCGCCCATGTATAACGCTAGGCAGGTCCAAGGGTTAATATTCGTCATGGTGTCTGAAAGGATCTACACCGCAATAAGCAGCTTGGCGCCAAATCTGGCGAGCATGCGAGCCTAATTGCAAAGCGCGCTCAATTTGATTGCGTATGCGTATCTCATGCTCGGCGCATAATCAGTTGAGGGGCCGTACGAACGTCTAGCCGAACCAGTGGTGTCTTAGGTCCGATCTGATCAACACCATATGTACATTCCTTGTACGAACTCGTTGATCGCTTTTATCCGATCGTTGCAATGGCATTGTCGTTGATAAGCTTGCACCTCTATGATGACTCCACAATTTATAGACATGTGCATGAGGTCACACGAGATCGGCATCTAGAATAAGTGGACCATGTAGGGCCAGTCGGCGCACTTGGACATTCATAAATATAAGATCGCAAAACGCACCCTCTAGATGACACTTCCTTTTCAGAAACTTTGCAGTTACTTGCACAAAAAAGCCGCCGGCGAACAATCAAGTTCTTGTTACTGTTCTATCCACCATTCCCTGCACTTTTTCGCTTGTGATTGATGGCGCGAACGTGTCCAAGTGTCCGAGCTTTTTAAGACGTTCTCGGATTGACCCCCTTTGATGACGTCAGCAGTCATTCCCCGCACTTTTTCGCTTGTGATTGATGGCGGGAAGGTGTCCAAGTGTCCGAGTTTTTAAGGAAGGTTTTCAGGTCGACCCCCTTTGATGACGTCATCAGCCATTCCTGCACTTTTCGCTTGTAATTGATGGCGCAAAGATGTCCAAGTGTCCGAGTTTTTGAGGATAGTTTTTGTGACGGTTGGACAGGGTCACACGCTGCCTGTCTA